GCGGCCGGTGAGGGATGAGGGCCCCCAGGAGTGGGTGGGGAGCGGGCATGGGGGCACCCGCGTCCCCCTCCTCCCCGCATGGGTGCCATTCACTCGCAGGGGTGGCCCACACAAAGGACCGGGGTTCGCTCTTCATGCAGGGCCGAGACGAAGTTTTGGGGACAGGCTGCTTGAATGCCGTGCTTGGCAGTGTTCACGGGGTCCTGCTTTGTCCCGTGCTGGTTTCCGAAAACACGTATGAAATATCAGTATGAGTGTGCCAGGCAGGTGGTTCCCTCGTCGCTTAGGAGAGGCTGGGGCAGCCCCCCAAAAAGAGGGATATGCTGCATTTCTAGGGTGGCCGTCCTAAAGGACGTTCTCGTTTTCTTCTGCTCTGTTGATACAAAACCTGACACCACTATGCCCTTTATTTTAAGAGAAAAACAGAGGGCATAAGGGTTTCATATCTATAGAGGACAGCCACACAGTTCTCTCTGATAGCCACCCCACGTGCTTCTGAAACCACACGTCTCACAGTTCAAAGGGCCTCCTGCGGTTACGGGGTGGCACATGCGTATGGACTTACTGCTGACTGCTTTCAAGCTCACCCCACCGATCCCGCACGTATTGGGGGGGCAGATCTGTCTCTGCCGCGTGTCCGTATTGTGCGTGGAACTGGAAACATCCCCCCGCAGGCCTGCTTTCAGGTTTATTTGAGCCACGGTAGATTGTCTTTGTGAATCTGTACATAAAGTCGTTGTCCACGACCGCATACAGGCTGTGTGTGCTGGCTTCCCAGCACCCGTGGTTTCAGCTTGGCTTGGGGTGTCACCTGGTACTGGGGGTTATTGGAAAGACTAAATGCTATACGGCACCCCACCACCGTGCTCCTAGTCAGCTTTATTGCCTGCAGACACATTTAAAATTGCCTCGATAGGTTGTTTCTGAAGCATGTAAGAGTCTCTGAGGTGTAGGAAGCACGACACCCAACCCGGTTAGCGTTCAGAACGGTGCAGCGAAAAAGGGACGATGCAGGAGTTTTCTAGGTGCAGGTCTAGCAAAGGACAAGGGTTTCGTGACATTGCAGTAGTCACAAGTGTCATTAAAAATTGAAGGGATGCTGGATGGCCGTGTTTGTGGCTGAGCTCATGAGGCTTCAGGTTTATTGTCATCAGCTGCTTCTCCTTCCCCTCTTTAATGGGACAGGGGTTCATTAATTACCACCTGGGCCTGCTGCTTAGAGTTCCCTGTTCTGCCTCTTCTCAGAGAGGTCACTTCCACAGTAGACAACGCGGTTGGGTTTTTAGCCCAGAGGACAGTGTCTCTTCAGAGGCGTGAAAGAGCTGTTATTTTTGCAGGACATCTTTTGCCGCTACGAACTCTGATGCAGGCGCGTGACTTTCCAGTGAAAGTCAAACAAGCTCCTCCCAGGACTGTTGCCTCTTTATTTGAGATGCTGGAGTTTGTGCTGCTGCAGTTCTGCCTGTTTGCAACGCAGCAGACAATTTCTCTTTTCAGGGACTTGTTCCCTTGCTTTTAAAACATTAGCTGATGGTGAGGAATTGATGCTTCAGCATTTTGATCAGAAGCTGAATACAAGAGTTGATTGGAGCTGGAAGAGCTATGCTGTTACTATAACAGCACCAGTGTCTAGAATAACATTTTTTTTCTTAGTCTTTTTCCAACCTTATCTCTTTTATCAACAATTGAGACTTGTCTCTTTTCCTGCAGGTGTATTTCTCCCCTTTTTTTGAAGGTAAAGTGACCCTTCTTGCCAATCCCAGCTGTTGGCTGTTGTTTAAATCAGATTTTCTCAAGGCTATTTTCAACCTGCAGCTTCAAATGCAGCCTGACGGTAGTTGTTGAGCCCCAGTGCTAAACAGGTGGTGGGTGTGACACAGGTCTCCCCTTAGTGGAGCTATCTGCCTCTAGCTTTCTCCCAGTTGCAGCTTCCCAGCAGGACTGGATTAGGGTTTAGAAAAGTATGTTTGCTCCTGAGTAGCAGTCTGAAAGACAGCATAGAAGCACAGAGGACCGCTCTTCTGTTGCACTGGCAATGCGTAAATAAAGGCTGGGGGGTGTAAATCAATGACTCCACTATGTGACCTAAACACATTCACTTTTGGCATGCTCTTTGTTGCAGTGGTTTTTGGATGTGGGATCCAGTTGCCCTTACTGTTAGTTCTCAGTGGCTGATGGCGTGCTGGACAAGACCATGTTCCTTTTTTCATCAGCAAACTTGTTGAGACTTAGTAGAAACTTGCATCAGAGTAGTACTGACTGTTTTGGAATTAAATGTGTGTGGTTTTTCTAAAGGCCATTTCTCATTCAGTAACTGTGCAGCTTCTGAAAGCCTTCCGTGCCATAGGTGGAGTGCTAGACTTGTAACTTATAAAGATTTCTTGAAGTGTTGTAATTATTGCAGCTCACCAGGCTGTGTAACGACAGCTGAAATGCTAGCTGTATTTTGGGGCAGCGTCCTCTGTTAGCCATCTTAGTTCTTGTCTTTCAGCTTGCTGTGCTCTTCTGTCTGTGAAGTCACCAAAGTCCTTTCAAAACCCAAGTGACGTGTGTGTTTATACATATGTATATTGTGTGCATGTACGTAATATGCTATATATGGTTATTTATGTTGCTTTCAGACATCGTTTGGAGTTTTCCAGTTCTGCCTAGTGACTTTTCTGTTCTTTCCTCTTAACAGTGACTGTGTTCTTAAGCACTTTGACCCCCAAATTCTACGTTGCACTTACAGTGACTTCATCTCTTATATCTGGACTGATACTTGTAAGTAGCTTCCTTTTTTCATTAGAGCCTTTGCACACCTCATGTTAAGGTGAGGACATCATAAACTGTCCTGTTCTCTGGTCAGACTCTAGGTGGTGCCTTTGTACTGTTAAAAAACAACACAAAACAAAAAAACCCAACCAACCTCAACAATGTCTGACATATATTTTAAATGCCTCTTTATCAGATTTTCCACTTCGGGAAGGTGAAGAGGATAGTCTCGGAAAAGTAACTCCTCCTGGATCCGTTTTTCCCTTAGCGTTTAAGCCTGCTTTGAGGATACGTAAGGAAACTATGCAAATCAACAGCAAAAGTTTAAAGCCCTCCTTGTTAAGAGAAAATTGAAATTTTACATCTTCTAAAATCTCTCCTAAACCAGGCAGGTCAGAGCTCAGATTCCCACAGCAGCCTTGACTTTGTTCCTTTGCCCATATGTTTAATAGCATGATCATGTCATAGGATTATAACTTGGTCTTGGGCACAGTAATAAATGTTACATGTGTGTGCCTGTCATGATAGACCAGAATACAGTGCTTGGTATTGCATTAACTGGTTGGTACTGTATCCACTGATACGGGAATGTATCTTGGAAGACCCCAGAGTCATGTACATGTGCAGCGGGCAGTACTGTGGCTTCCATAACACCCTTCATGTCATATTTTCTGGGTCTTGTGCTCATTTCAGCCTCTGTTTTTCAGGCCATTTTCTTTATTATAGAGGTGGGGGGAAAGCTCAGTCCCTTCCCCAGTGGGTAGTGTGCATTACAGATCCTTTCAGCTGATATGTACTGGTTCTGTTCTGGCTGCTCTTGGCACTCCATCACTTCAGGGAAGGGAAAAGCTTGCCCTGCTGTACCCATTTTCTGGACAAATAGACTGTTGTGCAGTGTGAAGGCTTATCTAGTACTCCACCAGTATGGCATTTGCTAGTAAGCAACTGAAGCAGAGAGGCTGGTGGGGGGGGAAATGGATAGACCTAGGGTTGCAAGAGACATTGCTCTTGATGAGCACTGGAAGATGCTCAGCCTTCTTAAATCTTTGGTGGTGATCTTCCCGTCAGAGCTTTGTGGGCAGAGACCTACCTGCAGGGTTGGGGTCTTCCAGCACACTGTCTCCCCCAGCTACTAAACCCAGGTACTGGCATGTGCAAATGCTGGGCTTTTTTATGGTCATTTTTGGTGGCTAATGTGTGTTTTTTGTTTTTCGTTTTGTTTAAAAAAAAAAACAAAAAACAACTTGTATGTGAAGGGAACTTTGTTTACCACAGCTTCAGGAAAAATGTTGTTTGGGGGATTTGGGAAAGGCTGCGTGAGAAAAGGGAGATGGTTTTCTGTAGCTGCTGTACATGATTTAGATCCAGGAAAAAAAAATCCCTTATTTAATGAAAGTCAATTTTTGTTGACCATTAAAATTCATAAGTGCTGGTAAGATTTCACAATAGGGGCGCCACGGGTCTGGATATGGCTCATTTGTTCATGCTGATGGAAATACCCAGACGGAATAGTCAAAGGTAGTTGTCTACTCCAGCGCCTGGGGTTTGCGGGACATAAATTCCTTTGCAGGCCTAAAGGAGGAGAGAGAAACAAAATAATGCTCTTGACCTTAAACTTCTGGTAACTGAACTAAATTACAGGCATAGGAAAACTTCCTTCCCTGGCACTGCAGGCAACACTGATGCAGCATCTGACAGGAAAGACAAAAGGGAGAGTTTAAAAACTGCGTTTTAAAAGTGCATTTTACAGCCTGAGACCAGGCTAGTGCCTGTCCTACAGTAAGCTTTCTTTGGCTACGTGCTGCAGGATCCAAATGCCCTGCCTCCCTGCCCGCTGGAAGTGTTTGAGAAATCTGTCCATCTTGGGGAGGCAGTATGAACTAGTGTCTGGCTCAAAAAGGACAAATGTCTTCAGGTTATTTTTTTCCTTGCATGTTCCATGTGGGAGACTCATGCGTGTCTTGTTTGGTGAAAGGAGATAAAGATCCTGTTCATTTGTATATAGAGAAACGCTGTCTTTCATCGTGTGTGAAGGGGGGCAGTCTTTGTGGCTCGGAGGTCTGTTTAGTCTCTAGCGTGTATATGGGAAACCTGTTGTCTAGTGGAACAGCTGTGTTCAGTGTTCCTGTCTTTCCCCTTACAGGGTTTTGAATGGTGGTACTTCCGGAAGTACGGCACCTCTTTCATCGAGCAGGTGTCAGTGAGTCATCTGAGGCCGCTCATTGGAGGAGTGGAGAACAGTCCTCCCACGCCGAGCTTTCCAGCCAGCAATGGGGAAAACGAGACAAACAGGCAGAACTTGTCAGGTGATTGTCAGCGTGTCCCTGCAGTCTCCCTTGCATGCAGGAGTGCCTGTTCACGCTGGCTGGTTTTTATCCGAATGCTTTTGGCTTCACACTAGTGACCATAGGAACAACTGGAGAAAGATGGTCTTTCTCTCCAGGCAATCGGAAGGGAAGTCTCAACACGAGAGGGAGGCAGTGATGGAAATCAGCGGAGTGAAATTCAGAGTTGTTCTGTGAATACGGCCACATCCATTAGCACTCCTCAAAGAAAGGACTTCTTTATGTTGTAGGTGGCAGTCTGTTTAAGTGCATAGCCTCAGGACTGGAAAGAGCTTTGCACTTACCCTGAGTATGTGCTTATCCAAACTGAATGTAAACAGCCACTCCTGGTTAAGGACACAGGGCTGACAGTGGTGTGGTAATAGCAGCCCTGAGACGGGTGAGATCCCCTAGTCTTCTACATGGGTTTAGCTGCCTGGTAAATTGAATAACTCTTCTCATTTGGAAGGATCCTAAAAGTCCCTGTCAGGGCTGCTTTGGAAGCTGTGGAAATGAGGGGAAATGCCTGCTGTGGCACTGACTAGCTTCCATCATTTTCAAAGCTTCTAGCAAGGAGCACTTTGAGTGCAGTGACTTACAAAGCAAAGGGTTAGGGTTGGTACGCAGCTATCCAGAATACAGCAATGTGCCAAGTAGATTGTAAGGCTGAAGCAATGCGGTGTACCTAAGCAGTTTCTGCCCTTAATCAACATGCAGGTAACTAGAATCTGTTACAATGTAAGGAACAAAGAAAGGGGCTAGCGTTGTGTTTTGCAATTACGCAAATGATGCACTTATTCAGGAAGTATAAGTGGAGCACAGTGTAGAATTAAAATGATGTAGAAAGAATCTTTAAGTCAATAAATTGATGTCTTCAATGCAAAAAAATGTACTGGAATGTACTGTTGAGCTGTCCCTTTAATAACAAATTTTTGCAGGCTGCAAAATTATACAACTTGAACATTGCATAAAACTAACTGGAACAGTGTTTAATCCTTCCTCCAAATGCTTTTGTTTGCCAGGAATGCTGAAAACTTCTGAGTTTGCACAAGCCAAGGCCACCAGAAAGTGATCAAAGAATTCACATAAGTGAAGTCGCATAGCTCCCCTGCGTAAATGACACAGCTCTGATTCAAACTTGAAATCATGCTCTCTTTCGTTTTGCAGAGTGCAAAGTGTGGAGAAACCCCCTCAATCTTTTCAGAGGAGCAGAATATAGCAGGTATTTATTTCACTTGTTTTCAGTGTAACGTCTAGCCGTGGCATCCAACTCTGAACTTGCAAACAGCTTTTAGCTTGTTCACAGAACTCTCTCCAGCTGTGATGTGGAGAGAACTATGTGACTAAAAGAGCATCACACATAACTGCCTGAATTTATACCAACCCTGTTCTGAAAAAGCATCTCTCCAGAGCTCCAGGCATCTTCAGTGCATGTTAAAAATGTAAATATTATTGCAAACAGAAGTAAATCGAGTAGCTGCTTCAAAATAAATAACCACTTCAGTACTTGCCATACTCCTCTTCCCCAAAACATTAACAAAAATTACAGCTTTGTTGCCTGCTCTGAAAACTGGTGGAGTTGAGCCATTTCATCCCAAAGGGCGAGTCCGGCATTAGCGTGCCCCTTCGTGCTGAGGTGAGGCAGCTCAAAAGCCCTTGCTGTCTGTAGCAGTAATACTGTTGCACAGGAAGAGCAGCATTTGTCCAGCAGGCAGTTCCCAAGTCTTCTAGAGCTTTTGGATTAAAAACACACCTGGAAAGTCCTTACAGTAAGCCTTCTGGCACCCAGTCTGGGCCACAGAATACCCGTGTTATCAACTTCTGGTTAGAAACTCTACATAGCAATACATTGTTCCTGAGGATCTCTGATGTCCCACTTGATATTCGCATTTACCACCTGTGCATCTAATTGGGAATTCTCTTTATCTTTTTCTTAAGGTACACCTGGGTGACTGGGAAGGAGCCACTGACATACTATGACATGAATTTGTCTGCTCAGGATCATCAGACCTTTTTCACATGTGATACAGACTCTCTTCGGCCTTCAGATACAGGTACCGTCGTTAGCCACATGGCCTACAGAGAGGTCAGAATATCTAAAATATGTTTATAAATGCTTACTTGAAGGTGGTTCCAGCTACTGCGTGAAACCGTATAAAGTAAAACCTGAGTCCCGCTAGCTAGAGAACATGTGCTTAGCAAAATGCCCTTGAGTTTAATTTGTCAGTTTAAAGAAGCTCCTGAGCTTGTCCCAGGCTACACGGCTGTTTGGTGACAAAGTTATTTGCTTTTCTTTGGCTCGGGTCTCCCAGCTGTTAAATGGGGATGATACTGAGCTTAACCTCTAGGACTGAGGTGAGATTTTACATTGGCAAAAGTGATCAGAGCCTCAGATGAAAGATGCGCCAAGGACGTATCCTAATAGTGATCTGTGAAGATAACCCACCTTTGGTGAAAGCTTCTGAAGGTGGTCTGAAGTTACCATTTGACCTTGCCTGAGAAATGGCACTCCAGTGGGATTGTGCTTCCAGCATTGCTGGGGGGTGGAGATAGGGGGCAAGTGGGGAGGGAAGGGGGTCCATTAGTTCAGAACTGACTCGACAGGAAAAATACCAATTGTGCTTCCTGCCTTATTGGATTCCTTGAACTGGCCAAGATAGACCCTTCCTAGGCTGAGATTTGATGAACGCTCAGCTCCGGATGCTATGGCTACATGAAAACAGATGAAATCCTTTGTTGTGTAGCAGGCTGCAGCTCTGTAGGAATTTTAGACTAGGTAGCAGAACTGCGACTAATAAGAGAAGTGATGAAAGACTCTTGTGTTTCTTTAATTTATGATGTTTTCAAAAGTTAGAAGACTTGTCAGAGATTCTTTTCTACCACTTGCTTATTAAACTAGTTGCCAGGACACTCATACTGGCTGTCCTTACGACTCTGTAGAAATAAGCCATGCCTCAGAGTTTGGTGAATTTCTTATGTTAAGCGATCTTCACTGGTGTGAAACTCACTGGGCATGTCTACATGTGCAGTTAATGCAGCTGAATAAATTCTGGTGCAATTTGAGCCAGAGTAAACTAATCCCAACGTCACTGTCTACACGTGCGTTTAAGCACAGTAATTTACTCTGCTGTTGGATACTACCTGTGTCTGACAGGACTATCCTCAACCAGACTAAATTAATGTATTGTGCCCTAATTGTATGGAAAGCGATGCTTTACTATACAGCAAATTAGTCTACTGCACAGTAAAGTGCATGTTTAGGCGGTGCATCAAATATTTTTAGGGACATGCCTAAACAGGAACTTATGAAATCATTTATAAAACTTGGATTATGTTTTCCATGGGTGTAACATCTTTAAGCATGATTTCCTTTGGGGCCTTTGCTAAAGGATAGTGCTGTCTCCTAAAATGTATGGTGATGATACAGTATTCAGCAGGGAAAGCATCCCTTACCTGGCTATTGTCAGATGAGGTGCTAACTCTTCTCAGTGTGTCAGGTTCAGGAAGCATTAGTTGTCAGCTAGCTAGTGACATATTTGATGCGAGGAATGTGTTTTTTGTTGCATGACTGGAATATATTCGTCTCATTTTTGAAGCCAAGACTAATATTTTGTTTCCAAAGGAAAACTCAAACATTTTCCACATTATTCTTGTTGGACGGTTGAAGGTTTTGTTCCAAAAGAAACATGTATAGATTCTCATTTTCTTATCACACTTGAGATAGGCCAGATATTGAATTCCACGAACATACAGTTCTGGAGTCCTTTCAGAAATGTTTGGTGCGCAGGCTAATTCTGCCGAGTTAATAGTAGCAGCGAGAATGTTCCTTTTCTCTTGGATAAAGTGGGCTCCAAAGCTAGGGTCTTGCTTCCTCATAGTAGAGACTGACATTTTCCAGAGAGGTGCTCTGTTGAATTGATCTCTCCCCAGGCCTCCTCGTGCTGTAATTCTTTCACAGAAAATGGTAATTCAGACAAACGGCTCAAATTGAAGCATAGTTTAGATAAAGAGCATGTTGGAGCCTTCATGTATTTTTAGCTGCTTCATAGCACCTTTCAACAAGATGATAAGCAGTAACTGAATTTTGAGTTGGCTGCAGTACACGCTGTCATTTGCTGGTGCTTGCTTTCTAAACCAAACTTAAAGAAGAATTGCTTAACCCTTTATCATCTATTAAATAATCACTTTCAGTAGGCATTTAAGGAGTTAGACAGCTGCACAAGAGCAAATTCAATCCCCATCCATCATGCTTTTCTTTAAAACATAAAGATGGTGGATTAAAAAAAAAAAGATTCTGTGAGGGTCTGCACAAGGTACACACATGATAATTGTGTAAGGCCAACTGTAAATGCTTTAAAAACATCATCAGTTGAGGAATCATGCCCGTACTTACGTAAGTGGTGCTGGTTTGCACCTGCAACTCCAAGGTTTTAAACAAGCAGTGAATGAGCTTCTCCAATATGTCATGCTCCTCTGTTGCTGCTGCCCCGTCAGAACTCCAATATCCCTTTTGCTGCCTGCCTCTCTTGTGGGAAGAGTAAACCCATGTTCCCAAACTGCAAGTAAATGTTAATCAAATGGAGCAGATATGTAGATGGCAAGCATTACTCCTTAAAAACAGAATGGATAACAAAGTATTTCCTGGGCGGTTCTGGACTTGATCTGCCTTGAAATGTTTTCCCAACAGTTATGCAGAAGGCATGGCGCGAGAGAAACCCTCAGGCCCGGATCAAAGCAGCACATCAAGCTTTGGAATTAAGTAACGAGTAAGTTTGGAATCGGTGGAAACACGTTGAGATTCTGACACGAGAAATCCAAGCGTGTGACATTGGACTCTGTCACTTGGTTGTTTTTAGCTGTTTAGAATGAACAAGAAAAAGTGTCTTCAGATATTTGAAAGCTTTTACTGTGTGCCTCAGAAATAATTGAGTGTTTAGTAGCTGTTGCAAAATTGAGCTCGTATGTACATAGTTTGTAGTCTGCCCATTTCTTTGTTTTTTAAGACTGTTTTAGAAGAAGACTTGTTTTTTTTACGTTAAACAGTAAATCTCAACGTGTAGTCTTCTGCCATCGCAACCCCATGGCTGTTTTGTAATAATGTTGTTCTCAGTGTTTAATGTTCTTCTGGGTTTCATATCCACACAAGCCATTGTAACGATCGCCTGGTCTGTGCTCCTGTAACGTGGGCCAGGGACCTAGACTGTTCTAGGAGTTAGACTGTCCTCAGTGGTGTCAGATGACAGAACAAGGAACAATGGTCTCAAATTGCAGCAAAGGAAGTTTAGGTTAGGTATTGGGGAGAACTTTCTCAGTAGGAGGGTAGTAAAGCACTGGAACAGGTACTCAGAGAGGTAGTGGAAGCTCCATCCTTGGAGGTTTTTAAGACCAGGGTAGACAAAGCCTTGACTGGGATGATGTAGTTGGGGCTGGTCCTGCTTTGAGCAGGGGGTTGGACAAGATGTGACCTCCTGAGGACCCTTCCAACCCTTGTTTTCTATGCTTCTCTGATCTTCCCCAAGGGAATGTCTGTTTGAGAGAAGACCCTGGCCCTAGTGTAAAGGACTCGTGGACACTGACCTGATGTCTGTGTAACAATTCCTGTGCATGATTGTCTCTCAGAGTCTTTTTTTAAAAATTAAGAGAAAATAATTTTACTACTGCAGCAGGAACTTGGTTTCTTTTTGAGGATATGTTGCTGTTATGTCCTTCAAAATGAGAAGGTTTCCCTTTTCCTGGCCTTTGTTACCTGATGGTAGGCCTATGAATGGGCTGGTAGAAAAGGTGGGGGTTAGGGTGCAGGGGAAGGTCTTTTTTATGTGGTTCATTTCAGTAGCAGTGTGTTTCCTTAGAGCTTGTTCACGTACTAAACAAAGGGCTTAAACCTAATCACTTTTAATGCTCTTCTGTGCTTTGCAAGACACATCTATTGCTGGGCTCCTTTTGAATATTTTATGCTTTTCTTTTTTGTTTCCATTACAGCTGTGCCACTGCATATGTCCTCCTGGCCGAGGAGGAAGCAACAACCATTGTGGACGCTGAGAAGTATTTTAAGCAGGCGCTGAAAGCAGGAGAAAGTGTTTACAGAAAATCTCAGAACTGCCATTCCCAAAGCCCCCAGCATGAAGCACAGCTTAGTAAGCACCTTTGAACTGAATCCTTAAACAGACTTTATTGTGTAAGCGTAAAAGCAAAATGAAAAGTGGGATCTCGTTTTTGGAACAGCTGTGGAATTCTCAGGGCTCAGTTGGTAGAACCATGGTTAGTTATTACGCTGAAATGCAATTACAGATTGCTAATGATTTAGTTGCGTGGATTTCATATGGCTGCTGCATCTGTGTAAAGCTAGAAAAATATCAGGAACAACAAGTAATCATCAGAGCAGCAGATGTGAGAACCAGAGGTCTGAAATGGGCCTCAACAAACTCATGGTAGTGTACCTTAAATGCCTTGAGGTGCCTGGTAGAGGCAAATAAGAGTGATTAGTTGAGGGTTAGCCATACCCATCACCACTGCTCACTGGGGTTACTTTATCTAGCAAATTGGAAGAAGCTCAAGTGTTATCACCTGATGGGCATTTGATAAGATAGCTGTAATGAATTGTGGGTTGGGTTTTGGTAAGACGCAGGTGATTATTTTGCATACTTGTTCTCTCAGCAGCTAGTTAGGGAAAGGCTGGCGAGCACTTTCTCTTTGAGGGAGTACACTGTCCTGTCATCCCATCTTTGGAAAGAGATACCGGCAGCATTCCCTTACCACCCCCCCACAACAGTTTTTTTTAGGATTCATTTTTACAACTTAGTGCATTAGATTCGCCACTTGTAATGCAACTTTCCAAGACTTTTCCTTGTTTAAAATAAATGATTGACAATGAAAATGTAGCATGTATGCTAAATGCTTTTCTTTTCTTAATCAGGAAGAGACACTAATGTTCTGGTGTATGTGAAAAGGAGACTAGCTATGTGTGCAAGGAAACTTGGAAGAATAAGAGAAGCAGCAAAAATGATGAGAGATGTAAGAGTTTGTTTTGTGTTTTTGTTGTTTTGTTTTGTCTGAATTGCTAGATTAAAACCAACCATGTTGGAAGTGATGGAGCAATTAGTTGTGATGAGTTTTGGGTGAGATCTGCATGTTGGTAATCAGACTTCAGTTTTCCCTATCCGTGAAGCACACATGTGCATAATATGGCATGTGTTTAGTTTGGCTTTTGATTTCCATCGTTCTTTGATGGAGAATTATCTTGCCGAAGCAGCTCACCATGCTTTGTCTCAGTTCACCTTACTTCTTTCACTTGTCTGAGGCAGATCCTAAGTTATTTTTACACAAACGTACATTACTGACCAAGCCAACCACTTTGAGATGGTAGCCAGGTAGGGCTGGGAGCATGGTGTCTGAATACTTGGGCAGCTAGTGTACCAGGCAGATGAATATAGAGCAAATGAAAGTGGTCTCTTATAGATAGGGGAATTTAGTGCTTTCTTATGCTGCCTTCATGTGTATGCGTAGTGCTGGAAGGCCTCAGGCCACTCATGGTATTTGGGTAAGGAAAGAAAATAGTTCTAAGGGACATCAAGGTTTTTTTTGTTTTTGTTGTAAACCATTATACTGAATTTTTATCTGAATGGCTACGTGATTTGTTAAGCAAAGTAATTAAGTTTATCTGGATAAGTTTAGCAGCCTGGAGCTGATAACTTATTGTGGCTGTGAAGCACTGATCTGTATAGCCCTGGACAATGGGTATCCTTTTCACATTTTGTTTTGGAGCAGTTTGCAGATGATTTTTGTTCTGTTTAAGAGGTCAAATACAAGTACGTGTCTGTAGATTATACCAGCAGGAACCATTTATAAGAACTAAGATGAATTGTTCAGTAGGTCATTTTCCTGTAGCTTTCCAGAGGCAATCTGATTAAGGACTTGACTTCTTCTGCATACAGTGATTTCTGTTTTCAGATGAAGTCTTTTGAGTGAGGTAAAGGCATTTCTCTCTTCTGATTTGCAGTTATTGAAAGAGTTTCCACTTTTCAGTATGCTGAATATCCACGAAAACCTCCTGGAGGCATTACTGGAATTACAGGCTTATGCTGAAGTCCAGGCAGTTTTAGCCAAGTATGATGGTGAGTGACGCTTTTTTGTAAAGCATAAGAATGCTCCTTTCAGCTATTTTGCGCCTTAACGTAGATAAAGCCCGTGGCTCTCGCTCTGTTGCCTTCCGCTCTGCTCTGTGCACAGGTCACACCTGTCTGTATACAGGGGGCAGAATGAGCCCTGGCCTCCTCTTTTCTGACTTCCCCCAGATCCTGTATTAAGCCGATCCATGTTTCAGACCCTCAAATGGCGCTGGGTGATGCTTTCACGTTGTCCTCAGAGCCCTTCCCCTCACCTCGCTGCCACAGCATTCTTCCTGGTCAGGGGACCAGCCTGTGCCTACCCAAGGCCCCTTGCCAATATTTACAGTGAATCGGCTTCAGAGTGGAGTTTGTGGGAACTTTTCCTCACTCCAAGCAGTTGGAGTCTTCTCTGTGGTGCCTCTGTTGCCCATTGCTCCAGGGAATGAGAGACTTGAGGTTCTTGCCAAAACCCAGGGCCCCCTGTGCCTGGCCCATGCCAGCAACAGGCTGCTATTATTCGACCACCCGTGCTGCGCTGTGAGGGCTTTTTCATTAGTGCAGTAAAGTGTTTACCTGTCCGAGGGATTTTAGTTTTGACCTCAGAGGGGTGGACACTTGCTTAGAGAGGGGTGCCGATTCCTTTGAAACATCTGGAACAACTAGGATGAGCTTCACAGAGCTGGGGGCTCGGAGAAACTTGTGAGAAATCCTTCCCATATGGTACATACCAGATGCTTGGCTGGATTTTCAAATGGCTGACAAGCCCGGGAGAGGGTTTAAGAAACAGGAGTTGTCCAACGGCATGCATAGCCTTGTATGCAGGAATTTGAGAACCAGATTGTTTTTTCTACTGGTAAAGTATCTTGCACTGCACACTGTTAACCTCCTTGTGCCTAAAGACACCGTCAGGTGAAGTTTGGTTCTAGATTTAGGCTTTCTATAAATCTGCTTCAAACCAATAATGATTTCTCCACGGGATTATAAAAAAGAAAACAAGTAATTTGTATTTTTAGTTGAAAAGTCTCTGGCTGTGTTTAGTCCTGTTTAAAAGCATTCTGCTCATGTATATGAACTTGACAGCAACGTTGTGAAGAAACTGGCTAGTCTAAGGTGAAGGTAAAACATTTGTTGTCAATGTTTTTGCTAGTACTAATACTGGTAAAGACGCTTTCTGAGGGGATGCAGCTCACCAATGTCTTGCTATGTAAATTTGGTTTCCAACATCCTCAGGATGCATTCAGAAAGAGGTGCAAATCCAGACCCTGGACAATGAGAGGATTTTTCTGAAAATATTTTTGGGGTTGGAGCAAAGCAGTTGAGGAATTGTAAGTTTTGAGTCAGAACTGAAATGTTCCAGATGTTGAGTTTACTGTACAGGCCTTCCCAAATCAGAATCAGTCAGCTCAGAGGAGACAGATTGAAGATGTTGGTCTTACGTTTGAGTTTCTAAAGTTAACTATTTATTGTGCCCTAGACATCAGTCTTCCAAAATCGGCAGCAATATGTTACACAGCAGCACTGTTAAAGGCTAGAGCTGTTTCAGAAAGGTAAGTGAATGCACAAACTGCTGAAAATGGTAGCTTGCTGCTGCTCACGGATTATGATGAAAAAACCTAAATCCGGTGTGGTGTTTATCTCTGAAAACAGGTTTCTGTGTTCATGAGTGAATTCCCAGTTCTCTCCGCCACTACCACGCCTCTGTTTGTCTTAAAGAATAGACTGTCCACGAGTAGTTGAGCAGAGGATCTGATCATGTGTGTCCAACACTCCCGGATTTCAGATGGCTCACTCGCCCTGAGCATCTGCTGGAATGGGGGCGGGGGTGGAATCTGGGTGCCTGACTCCATGCAGGAGATGCAGGCTGGTGCTTTGCAGTCCCTAGCTGCTGCTCACTACATCTGGTTATCTCTTCAGCTAAGTTTAACATTGCCTCTTAGCTTTTGTCATCATAACAGACTTACAACAACAATCAAATGCTGGGTCTTTCCATCCAGCTTCCTCTCCAGACCTCAGCAGGATGAGTGACTAGCATGACTTTCTCCTCTCAGTTTAACTTCTGTAGTCAAGCTGCAGAGGAAGATCTTCCATAGTGCCCTGCAGTTGCCCGAAGTTTAAGATGTCTCAGTCCCCTAGCAGTTAAGACATTTGGTTACCTGCAGTATTTAGTGGCACTGTGGGCTAAGCAGTGTTGGCGCAAACATCTTTATTTCTTATATTTATAAATCAGACACCTCTTCCAGCAGTCCTTATTGGCGTTCAACAGACTCATTTCTGACAAGTTTTGGTTTACAATATCATTTTGGCTTGCATTTCCCTCAATTTGTTCAACTTGGGTTTCCACTACAGATTCTCTCCAGAAACAGCCTCCAAGAGAGGTCTCAGTGCAGCAGAAATAAATGCTGTGGAGGCGATTCACAGGGCTGTGGAGTTTAACCCTCATGTCCCAAAGGTAAGGGCTGTTTCTTTCCCTCTGGGTCCACTTTACCTCCTTAACTCAGATAAATCGCCTTCTGCAATAGCTGTGGAGTTTATATGTACTCACCTCTGTGGATCATTTAACTGTTTCTCTTTGCCTGATGAAGTAGGCAGAAGATTATTCATGTAAAACCTGAGGCTACTTGGAAATCCTGGGTTGTTTGCAATGATGGCCTTTATCGCTACTAGCTGATACAGTTAAGGTTACCAAGACAGCTGTTTTTGCATATCTCTATTCTCTGTTTCTTTCTCCCCCTTGCAAGCACATTGTCCAGAGCAGTTTCCCAAATCTCTCCTGCAAGGCAAACTGTAGCAAGTGTTTGGCAGTGATGTATTTTAGAGCGCCTACCTCTGCAGCAGCTATTAATTACACACTAGAAGAAATCCTTCAGCTGCCAAGAACCTGGAAGCCCTGACACTTCTGTGAGAGAGGGTGAAGTTGGTATGTTTTCGTGAGTTGCTAGCTTACAGAGACCTTATAGCCTAGTGATTACAGGACCAGAGTCAGGGGGGTCTTGAGGTCTGATGGGATCTAGGCTATGGACTTGTAGGAATATCTTGGGCAAGTTCCTTCCCTTCCTTATGCACCACTCATTCCACCTGTGCATTGGTACAGGTAGCAGATGCCTTTTCTGATTCCTTGGTTACTATCTGCTTGGTCGAGAGCTTTTCCAGGCTTATTGCCCTAAACAACCCCTGGGCTGATAATTTCTCTGGACAACTGATCCCTCTTTTTCCTTTACACTCTACTTGATATTGCACATTTTCTGTAGCTTGTTTAAATAACAAGGCAACAAAATAGCTGTAGACCGACTGGTTTAAGAAGTATTCTTTTGGCATTTTCTCCTTTTGGTTTTGGAGGAATTGTGTGTACATCTGTAGCTGTCCAGTTTGTTAAAAAAAGAAAACTTAGCTTGATAGAGAGAGGTCATGATAATCTCTTCTGGCTGCAGATTTGCTCTTAAATATTTTATTAGCTCTGATTGCTTATACAGGGCTTTGATTCAGCAGAGTGAGTAATAGCTCAAACAATTCTAGGCTTAACTGTTATCCATAAAAACATGTAGACTGCTACATCATACTGGTCAAATAGAAGGGGCTTAAAAACTAGCAGCGTATTTAAAATATTGATACTTGGATGAGAACTTGTTTGTCCGGCCATCCTTTGTAAACTAAGTAAGTGCGGGGAGTACTCCTGTAAAGTGGGTTACCCAGAACTGTAGACTTCTCAGTAGAGCCATAAGAAACAGAAAGCTCAATGATAGGTACATGTAGCCACATGGCAGCAGAGGGTGCTCCTGTCTCGTCAGGATTGTGTGTCAAAGTGTAGTGTTATCACTGCATCCCTGGCAGCTGTCAGAGCTGGCTTACAAAGCAAGTCCTTCTTGCTGCCTGACCTAACCTTTCCATTAGCACCGTCTTGTCTGTGCAGACCAGGTTTCTGTTGGCACCCTCTCCCTTACCTAAGAAACTTCCTTGAGGATGGCTGTAATTCCCACTGTGGCATGGGGATTAGTCTTTTTTGTATTTACCTAATAGTTGTGTTTGGAGGCCAGGATTAGGCCTATGTACTAGGTGCTATATGAACCCCCTTCCAAAAAGGGAACGATCAATGCAAAAACGCTCCCTGCTGCACAGGAGAGCATGGCTGAGTACTGTTGGAAATGCTCTGTCAGGCCGCGGTGTGCACTAAAAGAGGCGTGAGAGTTTGGTCTCTAGAATCAATCCCTGAAGCTGAAAGGCTGCTCCAAAGAGTAACTGCTCTTTTTACTTCAAAATACTTCTTTTGTGAATCGTTGGCAAGAGACCTCAGAAAGAGAATTGAAAGCGATTTCAGGCCTTAAATTAAACAACAGCTTATGCTAGTTTCTTCCTTGAGCTCTTTTGCAGCACAAATAAGACCTATGCAGTCTTTGGGACAGATTCATGTCTGGTGTGACTTGAACTGGCCAGGAGGTAAAAGCTCACGTGTGCTGCATGTCACTGAATCCTATGCAGAACTTTTGCTCTGGGGATGTATACTATTGGTAATCTTGAATGTGGAAAGATGGCTTTACCCTGGATCTAATCCCCCTACAAAAAATCACGCCCTCCCAGTCACAATTGCCATGAAGATGTGAATTCATCCACCCACTCTGTTCTGTCTGCCTGTCCGGTCTAATAGAATGTGCACTGAGAAAACTAATTGCTGGGAGAAATTGCTGGTTGTTTGCATGACTGATCAAGAGTGTAGCAAGTTCATTTCAGACAGTCTCAGACAGGTTTGTCTTTACCCTCTGCCTTCAGGGGGGAAGAAGATTATAACACGTTGTCATTATCTGAAAGTCCCTTTACTTGGAGTGTCCTTCAGTTGCTTCAGAGCTCTCACGTTTCCCTTTAAGAAGCTGAATACGCTTTTAATTTCAGGCTGCGTCTTTGTAATGCATCCAGTGGTTTTGTAGTCAAGAAGGTAGGTGGCATTTTAGCAATGCTGTCTTCTCTTCTGCTCGCATACCTCTTCGGACTGCTGCCATTATTTGTAGCAGGGTAGCACCTAGCATCTAGCGGTGCTGATTTACACTTGTACGAGCTCTGAGGGGCTTACTGTCTAAACAGGAGAGCCGAAGGGTGGAGAGAGAGCAGACACAGAGAAGTGAAGTGACTTGCTTAGTGTCATGCAGCAGGCCAGCAGGAAGAGAGCCAGAGATGTTCTAACGTGCAGCCTAGTTTTGTACAAATAGGATCAAAATTGTGTGTGTGTAAGAGAAGGGTCCTCCTTTGCCCCTGCAGTGATACAAGTGGCTGTTCTGCATTGAGCTGTGAAGGGGCTGGCATTCGCAGTTCCTGTCTTTGCAGCGACAGTTTTTGGGGATGAGCCTTCTGTTTTGGAAGGGGAGGACTTTTTTGAGAACATTATTTTCTTCCCATGGATCTGGACTCCACTAGGACATAATAACAGGGGATGGAGTTCAGGCCATGTAACCAGGAGGTAATTTGAAGGAGATAGCTCAGTATTGCAATGGGATAAACCTGCCAATGTCTTTAGCAGCTTGTGGAAAAAGACACTCCCAGCATTTGTGCACAGGCCTGCCGGCTAATGGTGGAAAGTGGACCATGAGAAGTTCCAAAACCTGGAACTGCATCATCACTCTCTGTTTATTCGTGAGCACCATCGATGTGCACAGACAGACGAGGTCTAGTCCCAGCCCTGCAGCAAGCAAGCACACCGAGGTGCTAATAATTACATCAAGGCTGCACCGTTTCGACTACATTTTCCTCCCCTTGCTGTTTAAGCCTTTAGTACAACTGCAAACTAGTCACAGCAGCAAGCCTGAGGAGTCATGTCAAAGGTCAGATATTTGAGACTATTTTCCCACAGCAGCCCGGTGCAAGTGATCCTTTACCGGGTTAAAAAAAATCGAAGAGGATTAAAGAGGATTAGCAAGAATATTACCCTCCAGAGCGCAGGCCTAAGGCACTCCGAGAAGAACCTAGCCAGGCAGTAAATGTGCTTGATTTGGCCAGGGCACAACCCCTGCTACATTCCTTCAAGAATCTGAATGGGAAAAGTTAAGTCCCCAAACTAGATTAGTAAATAATCTCATAGTTTGTGGCATCTGCTGAAATAAATCGGTGAGCTGGCTGCATTCTTACCCTTCAGGAGAGAGTTAAAGGAATTGCCAGCAACATTGATCAAAGATGAGGATTAACTTTGGCCATTATTGATGGGACTCTCTCTACTTTGGAAGGACAGTACCTAAACAAATACAAGGAATTGGGACATTCGTGCCACGCCTCTGAAATGTACTCATTTAGCATTTCCCAAAAGCCGAGTTGAAGAGGAAGACAATGGAGTGTCCTTGAAGCTATTAGAAACATGCGTTAGAAAAGTTACAGCAGTCACTGCCTGGGTGCTTTGCCGCATGCTCCCTGGCCTGAGCATCTAATTTTGGGAGTTGTCTGCTTGGAAACACCAATGTATTCTGCCCACGTATTGCAGTGCGGAGTTTTGCCTTCTCCCAGCAGCTGCTGCAGCTCTCCTACTTTGCACTTGCCCAGCTATGCTGTGCTGGCACGGTTGTGCACTGGGGATGGTTCTTGTTTTGAGAGGAACATTCAGCCTCGCCTCAGCTCTCCTGCACTTTTCAGGTTGATGCTTTTGTCTCTTGAGTGAAAACTTTGGAAGTGCAAATCAGCCTAGATTCACAGCATTTAATATGGCATCCCTTTGCTTGTGCTTCCTGTGGAGCCCCTCCCCCCACCCTTCCGGTGGAAAAGATGGCTTCTAGGATAGATGCATGAAATAGTCATGCTAAGCAAATTAATCAGCTGCACTGCCTAAAGCTGCATTAAAGTGTGAGGGGGCGGGAAATATCTGTGTTGCTCAAGACAACTTGTGCATCACATAGCCATGTGTATATACGTGCATATATCGTGTGCATGTATGTACATATGATATGGGAGGTGGATTTTCTCAGAATAGAACTGCGTGTGTACCTTTTGAAATACGAATGTAAATCCATTCTAACAGAGTGTACATCTTTCTGGCAGTCTGGCTGTAAAAGGTCCCAGTTAAAGAGCCCAAATCCATTCTTCCCTCTTTTCAGTGTACATCAGAATTACCTAGATCCTATCAGCATCAAGTACTAGGTCTCTGTGCTACTTGAGCAGGTGGGGATTGTCTCTGTGCATTATCCTCTGGAACAGATGAGGGATCCTTTGGTATAGCATGGCTGTGGTCATTCTATGAGCTGTGTAACTAAGCGTCTGATCTGTTTCCCTTTTCTGCTTTCAGTACTTACTAGAAATGAAAAGCCTAATTCTACCTCCGGAGCACATTCTGAAACGAGGGGACAGTGAGGCGGTAGCATATGCATTCTTCCATCTTCAGCACTGGAAGCGGATAGAAGGGGCCCTTAATCTGTTGCACTGTACGTGGGAAGGCAGTAAGTATCTTTTTCTAGTCCAGATTGTCAGTCTCTCTGCTTCTCTCTCCTCCTCTGTACCTGGCAAATCTATTCTGGATCCACTGGCAAGTGTCTGACCCCCTCCATTCAAGACTTAGGGCAGGTTGGCATCAGCGGGGTTTCAGTGCTACTGTTTGCCTTGTAGGAGATGCCTAGCTGGTGCTGTGTTTCCCAGAGGCAGAGGGATTTTCCCAAGTATGCAGCCATTTATAACCAGATACAGTTCTGGGGTTTGTAAGCATGGCTCTAGGGGTTCAGGCCACATCCTGAGCTGAGCCTTTGACGGATTTGTACCAGGTTATTTTCCCCACTTGCAGAAGCTCCTCACTGTGTGAGAGCCACCAGGCAAGGAAGCAGCCAGGTACGAGAAGTGTGTGGAGCAAGATAGTCCTGGAGACTGAAGCACCTTCTCTGTTCTCCCTAGAGCTCAGTCACATGGTGCAGGGAGGACTTTTCACTGCTCATACTGGGTCTGATCATGAGCTAAAGGGGCTCGTCAGTCTCAGCTTGCTGTAAGTCCCCTGTCTGTTTGTGTATGTATAGTCTTTGCCCCATGGAACCTCAGTCCTGATGTGTCGATGCGTCTCTTACCTTGATACAGACCTTACTACTGCTATGCTCTTATGTCCTACTGCTGCTCTCTCTTCTAAATGAAAATATCAAAGGGAGACTCAACTACTTCCAGGCTTCTTCTCTGCTTGCTGCTTTCAGTTGTGAGCAAGATGCCCCTTTGCTGGTGGTTCAGGAGTTTGATTTATGTGTAGCTCTAACATGAATTCTGGCTTTGCCTTTTTCTCAGCATTCAGAATGATCCCGTACCCATTAGAGAAGGGCCATCTTTTCTATCCTTATCCCAGCTGCACAGAGACAGCAGACAGGGAGCTGTTGCCAAGTAAGTGGTTATTCTGTTTATAAACAACGCCTGTAGTAGAATAGGTCTATGTTGCCTTGCTCTGTACTTACCCTCGTGTGCCCTCAGCTTGTGAACTCGCCACGGCAGGGATTCGGCTGCTTGCCTGCCGCTGCACTTGACCACACAAAATGTTGTGCAAATGCAACAGCCCTAAAAAGTGACCTTGTATCCCCCAAAGAGCCCAGGGTGCTTCCCAAAGGCAGTTGTGGGCATGGGTATACAGTACTTGGTGGCTTCCCACTGCAGCTGGTTGGGAGTCATGGATGAGGTGTGACAGTGGTTTAACATAAGAGCAACATTCCCTACCAGGTACAGAGTGAGAAATGTTGTACTCCATTGGTACTGCCAGGGGAGCTTAGGAAAACTATTCAAATCCCTTACCAAATTTGTGCCTCACTTTCACCTGCAGTGCATGCTTTGAGATGTGCAGTAGGCAGAAGGTTGGTTTTCCATCCCAGTTGGACTGGGTCTCCTTCAGCTGCAGGTCTTGCCCTGCCTTCCTGTTGCACTATTAGTTCAAGACCACACAATAGCAGATAATGCTCCCAAATCATCCGTCTAAGGCAGTGTTTCTGTAGAACACGAGGGTTTTGTAAAAGAAGAGTTTGTTTTGTAGGACGAGGCTTCCATACCTGGTAGTCCCAAACTGGAGACACCAAAACTGGGCTTCTGAGCAGTTGCTGTGAAGCTGTCGTCTTTGCTATTTCCAGAAAGTAACAAGCATGCTAGAAATAATTTCAGGAGCTTGGATTGGAGTCGCTTGTGAAGCCTTTCTCGCATTCATCTTGGGCGGCCTGTCAAAGGATAGACCACTGTGCTGGGTCCTGTCTTGAGTCATTTATTGGTACGCACCCACCTAATGACTCTTAAAAGCTGCTAACCTGTTGCACAGTTTCAGAGAACCCCGACGCACACCAGCGTAGGTCTCCTCCATCAATTCATGATCTTGCAGCTATCTGACGATTCGAGCTAAGCAGCCTGCCGACACACTGCTAGAGCCCTTGCTCGCTGCGTCAGAGATCAGCACTCATTTAGATAGCATAGGGGCTCTTGTTTCATCTTACACGGTTCTGGGACTTTGTTAGCGTGGGCACCTGCAACGCTGGGATCTCTCTAGTTTTTCATGGAGTAGAGAGAGCTACTACGAAAGTATCAGGGGACACGCAAGGGATCTGGCGACAGAAGAGCAAACTTTACACGTGTGTTTCTGTTACAAAAACCTGAAGTTCCGTATAAAATGTGTAATTCAAATCTGCCCCCAGACTGCCTTAAATTACTCATTTCTCACTTATGCAGGATATTGCAGAAGGAATTCCTCGGTTAGCGACTAACCCGGGCTGCAGACTTCCCAGCATAATTAAACGCCAACACATGCATGAATTTCAACACGATCACTCACGCATTCCTACTGCATTTTAAATATAAAACTGTCCATAAATAAAATCTTCTTAACGCTTTTATTGGACAGCCTTCCCCTGAAGCCTCTGCTTTCAAAATACAACTCTTATCTGTTTCACATAGAGTTCCTAACTGGGTGGAGGATAAGCTCCTGCTAAGCACTGAGTCACCAGGGACATTTTGAACGTGTAGGGCTTTGTACACACACTTCCATGTGTAGCAGCAGCTCTGGGTGCCTGGAAAAGGCTTCTCATTTTGGTTTGTTCTTCTCCCTACATGTGTTGGGGCAGCTGGTTTGCTCCTATTTCCCCTCCTCTCCCTCCTGCTTGAAAGGAATCCCCTCCAGCTGGGGTATTCAGATAAGGTTTAGTCTCCTTTTTGTTTGCTGATCGTAGCCACAGGGAGGTTTTATATGTAATTCATCCGAAAGGTTTTTTCTTTCTTTCTTTTTGTTTTCTCCTGGAGCTGCCACAGAATCAAGTGCAGCAGGTTGAAGGCCCTTGTAAAGCACTGTATGCACACAACAACCTGCTTCTCCCATCTGTTTAAAATCCTTGCAAAACTGTTAGGTAGAAGCTTCAAGGGCGGCAAGTTACCAGAGCCAGCGGGACTAGCAAATTCACCAGATGATCCCCCATTGGTGCCTGCTTTCCATGTCTTGAGCAGTGAAAGCTCCACAGTCCAGTCCCTGAGCTGTCTAGTCATCTGCTGATTTCTTTGCCCGGGAGTATAAATTGCAAAGAACCGTTATGTACAAAATTTATAACCCGGTCTCAGTCCTGCTTTCTTTGAGGTCTGCTTTGTCAGCTGCTCCAAAATTTACGGTAGTCTGCCAGCCAGCATCTTGGGAAGCTTGAGTAGAAACTACCGAGTGTACGTTGGCTCTGATGCTTGCTTTCAGAGTTATTTTGCTCTCAAACATGGGAATTGCTCAGATAAACAGACCTCCTGCCATAGAAAGCATAACAAATATGATGTTTGTTTTCTCCAATGCGGCATTTGGTTAAATAACAGAATGAGTGTGCATAGCCGTTAAAAATCCCTTGATTTGTTTAAACTGGGCCAAGTGTTTGGATTGGAACCATTGTCTTGAAAGTGGGCTGCAAACTTTACACCATTTCCTTCTGTCTTGCCACAACAGTCGGTATCGGAGACAGTCCAGCCAACTGCTTCACTTTAGGCTGAAGGAGGTCAGGAGGAGGGTGCAGGGGTGGGGAAGGGTAGCTTTAATGGGACTCCTAAGTAACAAGAGAATGGAAACCATCTAATGCATGAGACTGAAGATGAATCAAAGTTAAGCTATGTTGGCTCATGGCAGCGTGCGGGCTGGGATACGTGTAGCCGCAGGTCCACGTTTGTGCCTGTGACGTGAACTGATGGGAGTGTCGGACCGCGGCCATGCTGCAGCAGCTGCCGTGTAGCTGTGACCTCTTGTGCTCACCCCCGTAGACATGAGAGAGTCAGTTTGTGGTTGTTTTCCTTTCAGCGTTTCATGACGTCTCCGTTTACCCGCAGAAGGAGCTTCCTTTCTTTATCCACTTCACGGCAGGGCTGTGCTCGTTTTCAGCAATGCTTGCCCTCCTCATGCACCAGTTCCCTGAACTCATGGTCGTGTTTGCTAAATCTGTAAGTATTGCCTCCCTTCCAGGGCTCGCTGAGGGCAGTTGGGGGATGTCAAGATGCTGAGGTCCCCTGAATGCAAATGCTCTGAGGGGCTGTGGATTTGCACTCACAGGTGCCTGCTTCTGAAGCCAGAGTTATTGCACTTGATTTGCTACTGACTAGGGTTGGGTCAACACCACTCTCGAGCATGCTCCACCTGCCTGCTGCCTGTGCCTGCACCAAACCCAGGGGAACAGCAGCAGAGCTACTCCAGGGGTTCTCTCAGAGCTGGTCTCAAAGGGTCATATGGATGCCTCGGAGCAGCGTCATTGCTGCCTTCTGGGAAGTGCAAAACCTGGGAAGTGGGTGGGTGCCCAGCAGCCTTAGAGCTGCAGCACAGACATACCCAGGGGCCTGGTTCCTTGCTTTTTATAAAGATCAGGGTTCTTGAGTTGCAAAACTGACCCCTGAAGACCACCCTTGGAGAGGCTTAACACCAGTTACAGACCAAGGTCCACACCAGCCTGCTCTCTTCTTTCTGAGTTTTAGTTAAACCACAACTATTGGAAGCAGAAGCTTGTGAATTTGGAGTTTAGGGATCTTGAGTACTGAACAAATTAAAACAAAAGCCATGGGAGTGCTCAGATGAGTGGTACCCTTTCTCAGGCTCAAGGTCCCCCTTGGAAAATGCCAGCTCTGAGCTTTCTTTCATTTTTGACTATAGAAAAATAATAGCGATTCTTCTGTTGCAAAGAACTCGGAAAGACCACAGCAGGTTGGTGTGTTTTTGACCCTGTGGGTCTCTTCTTGAAATCTCTGGGTTTATCATGTGAATCACATGTAGGTTTAGCTCGCTTCTCAGTGCTGATATTGCACAGCACCCTTAAAAGGATCTTGCCATGCCCCGGGGTGCCTCCTCATCCTTCCTGAGAATCACTGGCTTAAACGGTCATCTCCCTGAGGCAGAGACGGTTCGCATCATGTACTGTGCCAAGGCAAGTGTCTGTGCTTAAGGAATGAGCATGTTCTGCCCCTTTTTGAGCTGTTGGCCTCCTTCCTCCCTGCTGCAGCTTTGTGCCCTTGTGCCCCTGCTGCCTCTTTCCATGCTGCAGATGGCGGGATAGCTGCTTCTCAGGCTGCTCCGGGATAGCAATGGTGAGGGCTGATGGGTGATGGCAGGAAACCTGGGTTATTGCACATGGCTGAAGCTGAACGCCGACTAGAAATGAATCCTCAGAAATTCCATGGAGAAGGTAGTCACTCATCTTGTGCGGCTCCATTCTTGCTGGTTCCTCTTTCTCTTACTTTGCCTTCTAGCCGTTGGGGAAGTTAGAACACATGTGACAGCTCTGTCATTTAAAGCCCTGCTACAGGGTGCCAGGATGCCACAGCAAGGAACATGGTTGAAGTCCAGCATACAGCAGAGAACAACCTGGTGGTGGGGTCAAGGACCACATGGCTTTTGTTCACATCTTTTCTCAAATTCTAGTGATTGAAAATAGGCAAATGAACTCCTGCTGCTTGTGTGCATGGAGTCCGTGCTGTGTCACCATGGGAAACTGAGGCAGAGGCTTTCTGTGAGCAGCTGAGCAATAAATGCATGGAGGTAAGAAGCTATGGTGGAAGTTGCCCTGCAAACTGCCTCCTTTACCTGACTGTGAGAAGTGGCTGAGTCGGGAGCTCCAGTCAGTTCAAACAGCAGCGTGGTGTTGTCACTGGGAGCCACGTTAAAGGAACACAGCAAGTGGGCTTCTCTCCTGCTCTTGCCCTGTAAGCTCTCTTTGGCAGGGGGACTGATCATATTCGACCTTGGGGGGAAGTGGGCAGTGGAGTCCCCCAGAGCTCAGTCCTCGGGCCCGCGTTGTTCAATTTCTTTATCAGCGATTTGGACGACGGGGTGAAAAGCAACCTGTTCAAATTTGCTGATGATACAAAAATATGGGGAGAGGTGGGCATGTTAGCAGGGAGGGAGAGACTGCAGAAAGACCTGGATAGGTTGCAGGGGTGGGCTAACAAAAACAGGATGCGTTTCAATACGGACAAGTGCAGGGTGCTGCACTTGGGCAGTAGTAACCGGCAGCACACTTATAAGATGGGAAACTCCCTTGAGAGCACAGAGGCAGAAAGGGATCTTGGAGTCATTATTGACTCCAAGATGAACGTGGGCTGACAATGCGAGGTCACGGTCGGCGGGGCTAACCGGACCTTATTGTGCATCTACAGGTGCATCTCCAGTAGGTCCAAGGAGGTGATCCTCCCCCTCTACGCGACACTGGTCAGGCCGCAGCTGGAGTACTGTGTCCAGTTCTGGGCACCCCCTTCAAGTGGGATGTGGACAACATTGAGAGGGTCCAGAGGAGGGCTACCCGCATGATCCAGGGACAGCAGGGCAGACCCTACGAGAAGAGGCTACGGGGCCTGCACCTGTTCCGCCTTCACAAGAGAAGGCTGAGGGGGACCTGGTGACCGTCTATAAACTCACTAGGGGGGACCAGAAGGGTTTGTGGAGACCTTGTTTCCCCTAGCGCCCCCCGGGGTAACAAGGAATAACGGCCACAAGTTGTTGGAGAGTAGGTTTAGATTAGACATCCGTAGGAACTACTTCACAGTCAGGGCGGCTAGGATCTGGAAGCAACTTCCAAGGGAAGTGGTGCTGGCTCCTACCCTGGGGGTCTTTAAGAAGTGGCTCGATGCCTACCTGGCTGGGGTCATTTGAGCCCAGTTTTCTTCCTGCCCAGGCAGGGGGTCGGACTTGAAGATCTACAAGGTCCCTTCCGACCCTACTTCTATGATTCTTGGCTAGTTGGGGGTGCATAGTGGGTCCTAATCCCTGCCTGGCTACAGTCAAGGCAAGGAGAGAATTTTTCAAACTAGACCCCTGTGTAGCTCTCTCTCTTCTGATTTCACTAATAGCCAGGTAGGGCTTTCTGTGAACTGGGCCTGAGCCACAAAGATGTTGCGCTGAGCGGTGAGTAGATCCTCTCATTAGCTGAAGCAGTGTAAACCCGGCACAAGGTGCTTGCTGTCTCTCGGCACAGCTTGCGCTGCTGTGTAGATTCTGTCTCACGAAGGGCAACATTTTCAGCTTGTCTGGATAATGGTGGTGGTGTAAGTCTAGGGCATCGGGCCAGGAGTTGCTCTGTCTTCCTTCATAGATTCCTAGATGCTCGGGTCGGAAGGGACCTCAACAGATCATAGAGTCCGACCCCCTGCCTAGGCAGGAAAGAGCGCTGGGGTCAGATGACTCCAGCCAGATGCCTACCTGCCCTTCTCTTGAAGACCCCCATGGTAGGGGAGGGCACCACCTCCCTTGGAAGCCCATTCCAAATTTTGGCCGCCCTTACCGTGAAGAAGCTTTTCCTGATATCTAGCCTAAATCCGATCTCTGTCAGTTTGTGACCGTTGCTCCTTGTTACCCCAAGAGGCACCCTGGTGAACAGGGCATCTCCGATCCCTTGCTGTGTCCCCCTAATGAATGTGTAGGAGGCCACAAGGTCACTTCTCAGCCTTCTCTTGCAGAGGCTGAAGAGGTCCAGGTCCCTCAGTCTCTTCTCGTAGGGCTTGTCCTGTAAGCCCCTAACCATATGAGCGGCCCTCCTCTGGACCCTCTCAAGTCTATCAACATCGTTCTTGAAGTACGGCGCCCAAAACTGGACGCGGTCCTCCAACTGCGGTCTGACCAATGCCGCATGCAGGGGAAGTATTGCCTCCTTGGATCTATTTGTCATGCATCTGCTGATGCATGATAAAGTGCGGTTAGCTTTGCTGATGATTTCGTCACGCTGACAACTCGTACCTCTTGGAGTCCACTATGACTCTGATCCCTTTCTGCTTCTGTGCTGGTGAGAGGGTCATTTGTCAGTCAGTAGGTAGGTGTGCTGGATATTTTTGCGCCCTAGGTGCAGCACTCTGCACTTGTCCTTGTACTGCATCCTATTGTGTACTGCCCACTTTTCTAACCTGTCCAGGTCTGCCTGCAATCGTTCTCTACCCTCCAGAGTGTGCAATGTGCCCCACTATTTAGTATCGTCTGCAAACTTGGACAGAGTATGCTTCACACCCACATCCAAGTCACTGATGAAGATATTGAAGAGTACAGGTCCAAGGACTGAACTCTGCGGGACCCCACTACCCACATCCATCCAGGGTGACACCGACCCGTCTGCTACCACTCTCTGGGTGCGACCGCTAACCCAGTTTGCCACTCAACTGACCGTGTAAACGTCCACGTCACAGCCTCTTAATTTATTTATGAGGATGCGATGAAATACCGTATCGAAGGCCTTGCTTAAGTCCACGAAAACGACATCACCTCTACTTCTGTTTCTAAGCATTTTGTGACTCTGTCATAAAACGAAACCAGATGGGTCAGGCATGATCTACCTGCTATGAATCCATGCTGGTTTCCCTGCTGCATTATTTTTCCTGCTGGACTCCCACAAATATGATCCTTCATAATCTTTTCAAAGACTTTTCCAAGGATGGAGGTGAGACTGACTGGCCGATAATTACTCAGATCCTCCTTTCTCCTATTCTTGAAAATGGAGACTGCTTTAGCCCTTTTCCAGTCCTCCGGGACCTGACCCGAGCATCACAAGCGCTCAAACAGCCGTGCCAGTGGTTCTGCTATGGTGCCGGCCAGTTCCTTCAATAGTCTCGGGTGCAGCTCATCTGGGCCTGCTGACTTGAACACTCCCAGTCCATCCAAGTGACTCTGCACCAAGGCAGTGTCAACCCGCTGATGCTTGTCTAAGACCCCATTAGGAGACTTATCTTGAGCTCTGTTCAGGACCACTGAGGCAAAAAACTAATTGAACAGCTCAGCCTTGTCCTCCCCCTCTGTCACTAGTTGCACCTTGTTCAGTAGGGGTCCTGTGCTGCCCTGTGCCTTCCTTTTACTCCCTACGTACGTAGGGGGAAAAAAAGGGCTTTTTGTCGTCTTTAAATTGTGTTGCCAGCCTCAGCTCTGTAGTTGCTTTGGCCTTTCTGACCGCCTCCCTGCAAGTGCAGGCCAAGTAGGTATA